GGGGGGGGGGGGGGGGGGGGGGGGGGGGGGGGGGGGGGGGGGGGGGGGGGGGGGGGGGGGGGGGGGGGGGGGAGCGAGGGCCGCTCGCTAGATGATTGCTTTGTCATCAACCGACCCTGACTTCTCCACTCAAGAGGGGGTAGATGGAGGGGAAGGTAGGGACATACGCCACATATTCCCAGGCGAATCTAATCGGTTTCACTCCATATTAAGGCGTTTCACGTCCCGGGCGATTCGGAAGATGCCATACGTATCGAAGAAGTTGCAGGGAAGTTGCTGTATGCGCTGGAGGACGGGTGAGAGGATCATCGTCTCAAGGATCTGACGACAAGCTCAGACTAGACGTTTTTGTTCACGTGTTCTGATGCGTAAATATATGCGTTAATTCGCGTTACCTCGCAGTAGCATCGAACAAGGTCCCGGTCGTCGCCGCTTTCACACACAACATCGTCGTCCCCCGTTTCGCCTCGATGCAACAGCTCCACCGTGAGAACACCACCACCACCGTCGCCATCCCCGCCAAACAGCCCCCGTAATCGCTCAACCCCACACTGGAGGTAGGCATGCGCCTCGACCCCTCCGAGGGGAAGCCCGTCCTCCGCCGCGTTTTCAGCTTTGGGTACTATCGGCTTGGGCACAGGTGCGCCCATCGGCCTGTCCGCTCGAAATTGATGTCCAAACACCGAGCACTGGACTTGCCATCCGCGCCGGTCTGTCGGAGTCGGTGCCGATATCCTTGCTGAGGTTTGGGCGGCGGTTTTGAGCGGTGGTGCTTGCAGCCAGGTTGGTCTACTGATAACGCCGTTGTCGTTGTCGTTGTCGGTGACGGTGGTGCTGCGGCGGTGGCGTGGACTTCTCGCCGCAACTTGTCGTTGCGGTCGGGGCTGTTGCTCGCCCTGCTGCTGCTGCAGCCGCTGGTCCTCATTCAGCTGCTGCTGCTGTCGCTGCAGCTGCCGCTGTTGCTGTCCTTCTCGGACTACGGCTAGACCCTTAGGGCGGTGCACGCCGGCGACACACACACACAGGCCCCACACAGAGCTTGGATCGGCTTCCATTTTCTCCTCAGATAAGGGACGATCTTGCCTAAGGTAAATATATCAGTAGCCCCAAAAAGAGGGGGGGAGGGGGATGCAGTTCGTTTTCTTCCGTTCGTGTATTATGCATCAAGGCATGACCGAGGAGTTCTGCCACACACGCTTACATCTTCGCATTCGGAGGAAGTTGGGGGTTATCAGAACCAAGGTGCGCATAGGAGTGAGGGGTGTCTATCACTGCTCTCGAGTTCTTGGCGAGTTGGTCACAGTACGGAAAAAGCTTTGTTCTATTGGCTGAGTTGGAGTATACTGTTGTCTTGAAGGCGCAAGTCATTTAGATCACTCAGTCAGCGCAGACTGAGTGGTCTGAGGGATTAATCTCTTTTAACTCAACACAATTAGCGGATACTGATAGATGGTTTAGTACTCTCCTTTGCAGAACCGCCACCGGGTTGGAGCCCGAGCTACACCTGAAAAAGAAATGGTTGTTAAAATTATGTTGTTGCATACCTTGCCGCGACGTCACGGCGGGTGGGAGACGAAGATCGACACGCGGCCCAATGCCGCTGCCTGCTGTTGCTGTTGCTGTTGCTATTGCCACCACCACCATCGTTTCGAGGTGCCTCTCCCACGAACCGGCTCGGTTCCGAGCACCTGATGCCGGGGCAAACGAGTCGCGCCTGCAGTGTTTACCCGAGATCGTACTCTCTTTACTTAGACGAGTCGCGCGTGCGGTGGATACCCAAGATATACCCTCTTGTACGTCATCTTTTAGGCTGGTTTCAACTGGCTTGTCTGTTTTCTCACTAAACGTTCCCCTCCAGCGCACGCGACACGACGCTAAATGCGTCTCGCTGCCGGGATTGTGGGTTTTCATCGCTTCGGTACTCCCCTCCAAACGCCAAACCTGCCGATCTCCAGCCACGCGTCCGGCAAAGGGTGGCAAACGTGAAACCCGTCGCCGCCCTTCCCCCCTCCGCCGCCGCCGCTGCTGCCATCTCTCTCGTCCTCGACGCCGCCACCAATAACGTACACGCCGCGGTTGAATAACAGGGGTCTCGGCAATGCGGAGATGTTCACTTCCGACCGGACGCGCTCCAAGCCCAAAACCGCCTTCCACGGAACGAGTGGTTGGGTTCACGATGATGGGAAATCCGTGTTTCACGCAGGGGAAAGGAGGGGAAGAGGGAAGAGGGGGATGAGGCTTGATGGTGTTTTGCGCCATCCTTTTTCCCCAAGCTGCAGCACTCGAGTGTACTTTTCTACCTCTGCTTCGGCGCCGTCGTTGTACAATAGCGGTTACTCTGCCCGAGATGGAGGGGGGGTGAAATGCTGTGGGGTTAGGGGTGTAGTAATGGTGGTACCCTCTCTCCGAGTTGCCGCTGGGCACCACCGGCCGACAGACTCTCAAAGGGATCTCCAGCTAGCTTGCGCCAGTGGACCTGAACCGATGCGCTTGTTGGTTATGCATGTACGTGTGGGGGGGACAAGCCGTAACGCGACGTCTGACCTTGACCAGGAGCAGCTGAGACCGGTTGACGTCCCGATCGCAGCCTCTTTTGCCGCTGCCGTACAGCAGCAAGGGCGCCTGGAGCTCTACTTTCTGGACGTGGTCGTTCCTGAACTGATCCAGCCCCAGCCTCGCTTCACCCCCGCGACCCGACGACGACCAAGGCCCCTCCTCGGAAAAGCCTCCGCTTCCAACCCCGCAAACCCGGCCGCCACCGCCAATGCTGGTACCCACCCCAGTTTGAGGTTTAGACCGCCGACAGTTACTGGCGGCAGCATCGCTGTTGCTCCCTCGCCCTGTTGGTCTTTGTTTTTCTCCCTTGCGGTGGTTGTGGTTGGTAGGAGGAGCGAGGGCAAGGGACAAAACGATGCCTCTTTGGGTGGTGAGGAAGGTGTCTAGCCCGCAGCCCTTTGGGAGTTCGCCTTTGAGCGGCGTGTCGCCAGCCAGGAAGGTGAAAACCCTTGTTCCGGCAATAATTGAAGAACGGAGGGGGGGGGGGGCG